TTTGTTATTTGTCAGTGGTATCAGAGAAGTGATGTTGTGCTCTTATGCGCCATGTTAGGAAGCATTTGATATCAGTCTGTCCCATTCAGTCTCTTGAAATTGGAGTAGTTTGCCCAGTGTCTCATTGCTCCCTCTTGTTGACACCATAGATTTTAAGACACGTACTTTTTATATAAGATCTTCATATGCAGTGTTAATGGATGCCAGATGCTGTGCTATCTGGGTGGTGGGGCTCATGGCAGTTGCAGATTAACTGGAGGCAGACACCTGTAACCTAACCTGGTAATAACATTGGAGGTGCCTAAAAAGCCAGATGCTGAGAATAGCTGGAGACTGAGGTCTCAGTCACCCCTCCTTTGCATCTTTCTCATCTTCCTGCTTCTTACAAACTGCTGATAGACTGTTACAAAGTTAAGTTTGTTGTTGTTGTCTTAATTGAAAAGGGAAAGGTAGACTAAAGGGACTTCAAAAATTAAGGAAACAGTGCTTTTCAAATGTTCTACCCAGTATGTTAGTAAGAAGGGGAGCATGTTTCTCCGTTGATGGGGCCAGCTGCAAGAATGGCGTGTCTTTGACGTCTGTCCCATAGGATTTCTGATAGAACACATTTATTTGTTTAATAAATGTGATCCTTAAGGAGATTGCATCATGCCTTGATTGTCTTTGTTACAGTAGCCAAGATCACTAGTTACACCTTGATAAGTTTTGAGCATTATTGCTATTTATTAAATGTGGTTCTTAAGGTACCAGTAGGTTCAGAACTAGCAATTGAAGTGTGATGAAAGATGACATGTCTTGCTCAGCGTTTTGTGAATTAATACATAGGCTGTTTCCTGCCATAGATATAGAATGAATATGCTTTGAGAAGTAAAGTTACATTTACTTGAAATATATTTTTAATTGGCCAGATATTTATCTCTTCAGTCATGTTCAATAAGTATACTTGTTTCTAAAATTTTTGTGTTTATAAATTATATAGATGAACATCTTTGAACATAATGGTGTCGTCCATTTATCCTAACAGCCTGTAAGTTCCATTAAGGGCATGGATTTTGTGTCTCTTGTTCACTGTTGTATACCAAGTACCTGTACTTGGTCTGTACTAGGTGAATGAATGAATCTGGAGACAAGGACACACAACATGATGTGTAACTTTCTAATTAATCTCTTCTATTTTTTTGAGTAAATTACTAAACAGCTTCCTAGTACCATTTGCTTTATGTTTCACATTACATGTTATCATAGAATATAGTGACAACATGTATCACCTATATTTCCTTCTACTGGTGGAATGACCAGGTATGGATTCTTGAGGGTATAAATCAAGTTTCCTTATTTTTCCCTGATCAAAATGCTTTTTTGTTTCACTATCGTAAATCATGGTTCAAAAATTCCAGTACTTTTTTGAACGATATAAAATTTATATACTATTTACAGCAGATTCGATGTAAAATTTGATTTAATTATGAGTGGTTTATTCATGCTTTCTTTTCTACTTTTTCCCTGCAAATAGTGCACCAGTGTATCATGTTAATTTATTTTAGTTTCATTTCTGCATTAAGTAGAAAATTGGTGAAATACAGAAAAATAGAGGAAATTACTTTTAGTTCTACACCCAAGGGCAGAATAGCTTCCCATATGACTTGAGCTTGCTTTTCTAGCCGGCTCCATGCTTTTAAAATCCAAGTTTTAATATTGTTACTAGATGATATTCTAGCAGTATAATTATTAAATTATTTATATTTAAAAATTTTTTTCTTGTCTTTCTGCACCCCACCTTTTGATTTTTGACCTGGTTTTCTTGTGTGAAGACTCTGTTAACTAGAAAAGGTGTTAAGATGGTGAAGTTCTGATAACCTTTATCGTGTTTGTCCTTAATATATTTGTGGTCATACATACTTCCTTAACAGATGTGGTTAATATAGAAGGAAATGTATCCGTTGTGGGAGAAAACAATATTGCATCTCCACCATGAGCAAAAAAGAAGTTAAGTAAAGTGTATGCAGGTTTTTAAAAAAAAATTTATTGAAATATAATTGGATTTACAATGTATTAGTTTCAAGTGTACAGTAAAGTGATTCAGTGTTTTTGTGTGTGAGAGAGAGTATATTCTTCTTCAGATTCTTTTCCATTATAGGTTAATTTTTAGAACTTATTTGAAAATCCTAATGGATTGGCAGATATGTGGGAACCTCAGTACTATTTATAGGTAGGAACTACTATGTTTAATGATTGATGGCAACTTTTTAAAAATCCTCACACTGCCAGGTATATGAAAATAGAATTGCTGAATGAATAATGAACATTTTCCCTAGCTATTTCTATTTTGAATAAAAGATCATTGTTATCTTAGAACAGGAAAGCTAGCGAACTAAAGTAAAATGAATTTGCTAGCTTAAAATTATACTTAAGACATATACTTTGGATAATGTAAGTTTTCTTGAGCTACAGTGTTGTATGAGCATTCCTGAGTAAGGTGGCTCATAGGCTTTGTGTTTTTTGTTCAGCAATCCCAACCTGAGGGAAAACTGTGCAGAATATAACAAGAAGAGAAGGACATGGGTATAATCAACTTTATATAAACTAACTTTTGCTTGTTATTTTTTAAGAAAGGCCAGAATCATAGTTTTTTTTCCTTTAAACATATAACAGGATTGGTTATTACATTTAATCAAAACTATGCTTTGGAGGGGAGGGTATATAGCTCAAGTGGTAGAGCTCATGCTTGGCATACACAAGGTCCCGGGTTCAATCCCAGTACCTCTTCTGAAGATAAATAAAATAAGTAAACCTAACTACCCCTCGCCTCCCCCCCCCAAATTGTTTTTTAAACTGCTGTACACAGTGTGCATAAAATTTGAGAAACCTGTTGACTCAAATGAGATTGACAACCTGCAATATCAAAACGGTAGATTGGATAACAGCGACTGTTACAATAAGGAATTAACTCAGTATTTCATAAAATCAGAAGTATCCCTAGGGTACTTAAGGATCTATTTATTTATTTTTTTGCATTGTTAAGTATACCATGCACCTATTATGAAACGTGTCTTACAGAAGAGTGGTCTAAACTTCGTTCATCCAGTTTTGTTTCTGATTTAGTTATTAACACATATGTCAGTAGACATCTTGTTTTAAAAACAGATTACAGGTAAAGATAAAAAATTTGTATCAGCCTATCTCACCATCCCTTACTGCAAAAGGGAGAGACAACTTAATCTTTGAATTATAATCAGCCTCTGAGTAATTGATAGCTGACTGTTGTTACTTCTGCTTTTGAAAAGTGGTTATTTTGATTGCATAATAAATACTACATCATGAATTTTCTTCAGTCACTTATGTTTAAAGATAGACCTTCTTTCTGTAGTAGATAATTCTTGAAGTTTTGTGTGTTGTGCATCAGATTAGTAGAGGAAAAGTGAATCTTGATAAGTGTAGGATACATATAGTATCTTGGTATAACTTGACAGTTTTAAATATGTAGACCTATATGAATTTTATTAAATAATTAGAATTTAGTTAATGATGAACAAAATGCTTTCATAAATTTTCTCAAAAAAAATTTGTTATTCTTCCCCCATTCTAATAGATACAGTAACCATTATTTTTAATGAGATAAACAGGAATGTGATGCGTGTGCATTAAAGAGAGGATGGAGATTGCACACAACAATTATTGGAGATGCTTTATTATATACTGAAGAAGCAGTTTAATCTCAACATTTATAAAATTTCTAGCCTTAGGTTGGCGCCTAGATAGAACAATGTATCATTTTGAAATGCTGTTCAAGCCTAGCAGGCAAATGGCTGTGTTCCATTCCTCCTGTTTTCTATGGGGGTAGGAGTGATTTTGCACAAGCAGGCTATATGGTTGTTGAAGTCACCTAATGGATATTTCCAGAAAAGGATATGGACAGATATTTTAATCAACATTGTTGTTAATCTAATTTTGAAAGTATTTCAGAGCACCAAAAAACAAAATTTGGACTTGAATTTTGAGTGCAGTGGATCTCCTAGTCATGTGATAAACCTATGTTAAATTCTGTGTTGGATCCCAAAGGGTGCTTGATGGTTGGAGTTATTAGCTAGTGCAGAGGGCAGTGGCGTTATGATGCTCATTGAAAAGTTTTATCTCATTTGTTAACTGTTTCTCTCTCTAAAATTTTCACCACTTTAACCCTTTAAGTAGATTCTGGCTAGACCCCAATTTGCTTCTCTTTAAAAAGAATAACTCTGCTCTTAAATTTATACATGAAGAAGTAATTTAAAGATTGTCTTAAACTTCTTGGTTTTTGTAAAGTATTCTATATCCACTCTACTTAGGAACAACTTTATTTAGAGTATATATTTTGTTATTACTGGGTATAGGTATTTATTAGAGGATTTCTTTTTACACTAGTCTTCAGTAGGTTGGCATATAAATCAATGAGGAGATTTCATGGTGCCTAAAAAGCTTACTGTGGAGTGTCATACAGCCTATTAAATTTTCTTTTTCTTATTTTTTCCAGAAAATTTGGTGAGCGGCCTCCACCTAAACGACTTACTAGGTAAGCATTATATTAGTCTTTCACTCAAACATTTCATTAAAGTGTTAGATCCTGTTATTTTGGAAACTGTATTAGATGTTCTTGAAAAGAATTATGCAAATAATGGTATCTGGATCATAGAAGCTTATTCCCATTCTCCCTCCCCCACGTCTCCCCTCTTCCTTCCCACAAAAACCGGGCAAGAGGATACAGTTCAAAGGGGAAAATGAAACCTTTCAAGAATTAATATTGAGTATTATAGTAAATATAACAAGGGCTAGAATGTAAAGATAGCTTCTTCTGTCTTAACTTCATTTAGCTAATCACAATTTGTTGATTACAGATGGGACTTGAAAGATACTTAAATGCTTTTAGAAAAGAATTTTTAAAGAAAGGTTTTATCCATTTTTAATGAGACTAAATGTTTTACTGTGTTCTAATTATATACTTTTACAGTATACATTTTAATTACAAATATTAAATTTAAAACTATTAGTCTTAAACATGATTTGTTAAATTTCTAGCAGTCAGTGATTGTAAAATAAAAAGTAAGACATTCAGTTCTACAGTTACAGTCCTAGACTTAATGCTATCCTGCATTGTTAGACTCTTTCAAGAAAATTGTATGCATATATAAACAAGCCTTTTCCTTTTTGAAGTCTGGTATCATACTCTGCCATTGTTCTGTGAACTGTAGATCTCATGCCTTGTTTTTAATGTTTCCATAGTTTTCCATTGTCTTCACACTGCTCTTTATTTGATACTTCACATTGATGGCCACTTGGGTTATTTCCACATTATTGCTATTATTAGAAAAGCCGTTTCCCTCAAAGAATGATGAGGGGCATGCCAGGACACACAAATCATGGGCACTTTGGTCATCAAAATAAATAACAATAGTAAAGTCACAGATACAGAAAACAAACTTACGGTTACCAAAGGGGAAAGGTAGGAGTGGGAGGTATAAATTAGGAGCTTGGGATTAGCAAATGCAAACTACTGTATATAAAATATATGAACAACAAGGTCCTATTGTATAGCACAGAGAACTATATTCAATATTTTGTAATAAACTATAATGAAAAAGAATCTGAAAAAATATACATATACACACACAGATATGATATAACTGAATCACTTTGCTGTGCATCAGAAACTAATACAACATTTTGTAAATCAGCTATACTTCAGTTAAAAAAATAATGATAGTAATGGATTAAAACTCAAAATAAAATGACAGTTTGGAAGTCTGCACTAAGTTAAATAAATGACTCAATAAACGGAGGAGAAGAGATAGCTTTTCTTTACAGAAGAATTCCACCTAATAAATGTAGAAGGAATGATGGAACTAGGAAACCACACTTTAGCAGCCACTACAGTGATAATTGTTTGAGACAAAAATCATTGGTGAATGTTTAAACTACTGGTTTAAAGTCTGATGAGAAACAAAGTATTTTTATAGTGTCTAAGCATATTCTCACGAAGTAAGCGTTAATTATAAAGTGAAAAATAGTAACATGGCAGTGAAGAAACCTGGCAGATACCATCTCAATTAAGTGATCTGAATTAACATCATTAACAAAGGAAAGATAAATGTCACATGCATCCTGAGGACATATCACTTTTGGGGTGGTTCTTGCCCGAAATGCATAAACTAAATCTAAGCATAAGGAGACATCAGACAGACACAAATGGAAGGGCATTCTGTAAAATAAACAGCAAAGACTGCGGAATACCGCAGTAAAGGAGACCAAAAAGCTAAGTTAAACATGACAAATTCAACTAAATCTGTGCCAGTAACAAATTTTACTTGTACCCTAAAAGTAAAGTTGGCAAATGTTTTCTGTAACGGACCAGAGAATCAACGTGTTAGGTTTTGGGGGCCACACTGAGTTTGTTGTGACTTTTCAGCTCTGTTCTTGTATCCCTAAATCAGCCATACAATATGTAAATGAATAGTGTGTCCCTGTTCCAGCTCAACTTAATTTAATTTAAAAAGAACAAAATAAACTGGTAGCCTTTCTGGCTTGAGGGTAATAGTTTCTCAACACCGTTTCCCTTTATTGGGGAAAGGACATTAGAGGGACAGTTGGAAACATTTGAATAAAATCTGTAGATAAAGGTATATCAATGATAATTACATTGTGATCGTATAAGAAAATATCTTTGTTTTTAGGAAATAAACACAAGTATTTTAGGTAAAAAGGCTTTATGTCTACAATGTGCTCTTAAATGGTTTTAAAAACATAAGATGCAAATATGGTAAAATGTTAACATTTGGAGAGTCTTGGAGAAATGGGGAGTAGGAATTTTTTGTACTATTTCTGTAACTTCTGTATGTCTGAAATTACATCAAAATTTTAAAAAACATTTTAAGGCGTTCTGTAAATATTTCTGATCAAGTCGGCTAGAAAAATATAACTTACCTCACAGATCCATGTAAATGTATTTTCAGTTACTTGTTTTTATATATCTTGAAGAAATTAAACTGGAATTGCTTAATTCACATGTATAGGCATTTTGAAATTTAAAATTTAATAGATAATTATTTTTATTTTGTTACCAACAGCAATAGGTTCAAGTGACTGCTAACAATAAAATATATTTTGATGAATAAATGACTTTAATGGATACTTCTATAAAAATAGCAATCAATATGATGATAAATATCATACAAGGGAATTTTTTCCCCTTAAATATATACAGTAATATAGTTAGGTCCCATCTACTTTATCATGATTTTCCATTTACCCTTCAAGCAGTTTTCCCTGTTTGGAAAATTTTAGTAGCTTTTAGGACTTCTGCTTCTGGCCAAGATGGAGTAACAGGGACTGGAATTACTCTTCGGCCTGAAACAACTAAAAACCTGGACAAAATATATGAAACAGCGGTTTTCAAGATATTGGACGACAGGCAAGAGAGGACAGTGATCCTTGAGAGACAGGAGACAAATGAGGTGAGCCTTGCAGTTGCCCCAGCTCAGTGCCTGGAGAAAGTTTCCAGGACAGGAGGTAGGGAGGGGGAATCCAGGTGGAGCCTAGTAAGCACCTTGTGTTGTGGAAATGGAGCTGGGAATGTAGAGAGGCTAAAGTGGCCAGCATTCTTAGGGCAGAGAACTGAAGAGGAAAGAGCTGTGCATAGTTTCAGAAATATGTAGAAGGTCCTCTCTAGTCTTGAGTTGAGTATTGATCAGCAGGTGATCAACCTTTGTGGGTAACAACAACTTCAAGAATCAGAGGAAAGAATTCCTTGAGCTTCCTCAATGCTATGAGTTATGCCTGTTCTTAGTAGCCAGAGTGGAAAAAATCTCATAATTCACATTAATTCACTAGAGTATTCAGAAGGGTTGTGTTTCAGTAATGGTGCAAAATTAAGCTAGACTAAATGCTCCTCTGGTTTCACCTGACAAAACTTAAAAGCAAAATTGAAAGGATCAAACTCTTCAAATAACTTAATTGTGTACCAAAACAAAGCTCAAGAATATTTAAAGAAATAGAAAAATAACCAACACTCAGAAAAATAGTAAAATCCATTATCTTAACATCTGGTTAGAATACATCAGTCCTAAAAAGCAGGAAAATGTGATTCATAATGAGAAAAATCAGTCAATTAAAACCAACTGAGAAATGACACATGATAGAAGTGGACAAAGATGTTAAAACAGTTATATTTATTTGTCTTCTATATGAGTGTGCAGACTTTTTCTTGAAGGGTAAGATGGTAAATATTTTAGTTTTTGTGGCCCGAATAGCCTCTGTTGTAACTACCCAACTCTGTTGTAGTACAAAAGCAGCCATAGATAATGTGTAAACCAATGGACATGTCTGTATATTGGAGAATAACTTTATTTCTAAAATAGTCAGTGGATCAGATTTGGTTTATAGACTTTAATTGCAGATCCTCAAGCCAGAGGAAAGAGTGAACAAGTTAAATAGAGGACATGGAAGATTAAAAAGGGAAGAACCAAATCAAATTTCTTGAGAAGAAAACTATTTAAATGGAAAAAAGACACTTGATGGTATTAATTACAGATATACGCTGTTAAGGAAGAGATTAATGAACTTGAAGACATAGCAATAGGAACTCCAAAATGAAGACAATGTCTGGAAAAAGAGATCATTATGAGGTGTGGATTACATTCAAATGGACTAATATACATGTAATTGGAGTCATTGAAGGGAAAGGTATGACTGAAAGAATATATGAAGATATAAATGGCTGAAAATTTTCTAAATTTGGTAGAAACTATAAAACCATGGTTCCAAGAAGCTCAATGAACTCTGTAAAAACTATTGTTGTTTCAAACCACATCATCATCAAATTGCTTAAAGTCAATGATAAAGAGAAAATGTAAAAAGCAACAGAGGAAAGAGATAAATACAAAGGAACAAAGACAAGGATGACAGACTTTTCATCTGAAACCTTGCTGGGGAGAAGACAGTGGAATAAGAGCTTTAAAGTACTCAAGGGGAAAATATGACAAGTTAGAATTCTGTACCCAGCAAAGGCAAAATAAAGACCTTTTTAGATATAAGAAACTGAAAAAGAATCACAAACAAGTCTGAGCTACAAGAAATGTTAAAGAAATCCTTCAAGCAAAAGGATAATCATAGCAAATAGAAATCTGATTCTGTACAAATTACTAGTATCAAGAATGAGAAAGGTAATGTCACTGCAGATTCTATAGTTATTTAAAGGATAACAAGCAAATATTAGAAATAACTTTCTGCCAATAAACTCAACAACTTTTGAAGAAATCCACAAATTCCTTGAAACTGGCAAACCACCAAAGCTTACTCAAGAAGAAAGAGGTAACCTGAATAGTCTTATATCCAAATAAATTGAACTTGTAATTGTAAACCTTCCTACATAGAAAACTTGAGGCTCAGATGATTTCATTGTTGAATTCTACCAGATATGTGAGAAATAAATTATGCCAGTTCTATAGATATCCTTCCACAAAACTGGAGAGCAGAAATATTTCCTGGTTCATTTTGTTAGGACAGCAATGCCCTGTTACT